TTCTCCAGGCAAGAATACTGGAGTGGGTTGCCATGCCCTCCTCCAGGGGATCTTCCCGACCCAGGGATCAAACTTATGTCCCCTTGCATCGCAGGCGGATTCTTTACCTCTGAACCACTGGGGAAGCCCCCATAAATACACTATCATGTGTAAAATAGATCCCTAGTGGGAAGCTGCTGCATAAGACAGGGAGCTCAGCCCGGCACTCTGTAACAACCCAGAGGGGTGGGATTGGGTGGGGTGGGGGAGAGGCTCAAGAGGGAAGGGGCATAAGTATACTTATGGCTGATTCATGTTGTTGTACGGCAAAAACCAACAAGTTGTAAAGCAATTATTCTCCAATTAAAAATAAATAATAACACAAATACACACAAAAATGCTGGTTCTCATCCGTGGCTGCATGTCAGAATCATTTTGGGGGGATTACAAAATTCTGATGCTTCAGTCACACCCCCAGAGATTCTGATTTAATTGATCTGGAAAGAGACCTGGACAGTTGTTGTTCTTCAGCTGCTAAGTCGTTTCCGACTCTTTACATCCCCATGGCCTGTAGCATGTCAGGCTTCCCTGTCCTTCACTATCTCCTCGAGTTTACGCAAATTCATGTTCACTGAGTTGGTGATGTTATCTAACCATCTCATCCTCTGCTTCCCTCTTCTCCTTCTGCCTTCAATCCTTCCTAGCATCAGGTTATTTAAAAGCTCCCAAGCGATACAAACATGCTGTGACATTTGTGAACTGCTGACATCCAGCATCCAGCCCAAGGCCTGGTTCTGATACCTGCTTGCAGTCACGCAGGTGTCGGGGGCGGGGCAGGGAGGGTCCCATTAAAAGGGGACACGTCTTCATCAAAAGTCATTACCCAGGGACTTCCCTGGGGGTCCAGTGGCTAAGGTGCCAAGTTCCCAATGCAGGAGGTCCGGGTTTGATCCCTGGTTAGGAAACTAGAACCCACGTGCTGCAACTAAGACCTGGCATACCAAACATATATATATATACACACACACATATACATTTACATTTTATTTGCTTATTTTTGGCTTTGCTGGGTCTTCCTTGTTGTGCTGGCTTTTCTCTAGTTGCAGCGAGTGAGGGCTACTCTGTAGATGCAGTTTGTGGGCTTCTCATTGCAGTGGCTTCTATTGTTGCAGAGCACAGACTCTAGGCCACAAGGCCTTCAGTAGTTGCAGTTCCCAGGCTCTAGAGCACAGTCTCAATAGTTGTAGCACATGGGCTTAGTTGTTCCAGGGTATGTGGGATCTTCCTGGATCGGAAATTGAACCCATATCTTCTACATTGGCAGGCAGATTATTTACCACTGAGCCACCAGGAAAGCCCTAAAATTTTTTTTAAAATGCCCATTGTTGCCTTATAGGAATAAGGAAGGACTCAATGTTGCCACTCTCCATTTTGCAGAGAAGCCAGAAGTCTGCATTTTTTGGGTGAAATCTCAATTTTTGAATGTGATCACCTAATTTTGGGCTTCCCAGGTAGCTCAGTGGTAAAGAATCTGCCTGCTGAAGCAGGAGACACAGGTTCGATCACTGGGTGGGGAAAATCCCCTGGAGAAGGACATGTCTACCCACTCCAGTATTCTGGCCTGGGAAATCCCATGGACAGAGGACCCTGGCGGGCTATAGTCCATAGGGCTGCAAAAGAGTCAGACATGACTTAAGAGACTACGGAACGACAACGCTTAATTTTAAAAGATTGTCACAGGGTATGGGCCAAATAAGACACAACTTTGGAGCTGAGAGTGGCCTGGCAAGCTCACTGAGAACTCCCTTTGCAGTGCTGGCCCATGCAGGATGGTACCCAGTCCCCACTCAGGATACAAGCTGCCCATCCACCTGCCCAGGTGTGTGCCTTCCCGCATGCCCTGCCCCCGCAGGAACATGACACAGGACCCCGTTTGCCTGTCCTCACCAGCTTGTCTTTCCCTTGCCTTTCATGGGGACAAAGCTTCCTCTGTACCTGGCATCCTGTGTACGGCACAGAGAGTCAGGAAGTGCGGACTTCACAGACGACGTGGGCAGGGATGCGGAAAGAGGAGGTGGGTGGAAAGGCACGTCATAACGCACAGGATGAGCGTCCTGGCAGTTTGCTATTAGTTTCCTTCTCTTGTTTTTCTAACCAAACAAAAGTCGTGTTCAGAAAGTCAGCGCTCTCTTTTTCAGAAGGCCTGAAACCGTTTTAAACATCTTTCAGGACTGAACTTGGATGTTGTGATAAACAACCCCGTTCTCTGTTTTCCCTCACTTCAAGCATTTTTCAAAGGAGTGATATGAAATGCTCTCCGCGGCTGGCATGATGGGAGTAGCCAGGAAAGCGGCAATTAGGGGAGTCCTGTTGCCAAGGAGAGAGAGGAGGGGAGGGGAAAAGTGTCTCTGCTAGTTACCGGCTGCCTTGCTCCATCATTTTCCAGTGAATTTCGTAATGTGGATAAATAAGATGCTATCATTGTGCAACCAAAGGCCTCAGGTTTAAACAATTCATTCCTGGCTTTAGAGGACTGGTACTCGCTCTTGGTCACTTAATCGGGGGAGACCAGAGGTCTGCAGGCCAGTGCTCACCCCCATTCTGGCTTTTCCACCCTGAGGCTTCTGGAAGGATCTTCATGGAGAGAGGTACATGTGCTTTTTTCTCTTTTGATTTTTAGGTTTTGCTTTATTCCTCATGATAAAAATCAGTACATAAAACACAAGGGGTGGGGGGGAAACCACTTCCATAATCTTATTGCCCAGATGAAACAACTGCAAATATTTTCTTTCAATGAATCAATCGTGAATTTTAAGAGCAGCACAAAAAAAACCACCTAAAGCAGTGGTCCCCAACCTTTTTGGCCGATTTTGTGGACAATAAAGAATCTGCCTGCAATGCAGGAGACTCCAGGTTGGAACCCTGGGTTGGAAAGATCCCCTGGTGGAGGAAATGGCAACCCAGTGCCTGGGAAATCCCGAGGACAGAGGAGCCTGACGGGCTAATGTCCATAGAGTTGCAAAGAGTCAGACATGACAGAGGGATTAACACTTTTGCTTTCAATTTTTCTGCAGATCAGGGTGGCATGGGGGGAGCAGTGGGGATGGGGGGGAGGGATGGCTTTGGGATGATTCTCATAAGGTCCCTAGATCCCTTCCATGGGCATTTCACAGTAGGGTTCAAACTCCCATGAGAATCTAATGCCGTTGCTGATTGACAGGAAGTGGAGCTCAGGCAGTAACGAGAGTGATGGGGAGCAGCTACAAATACAGATGAAGCTTCACTTGCTCACCTGCTGCCCTCTTGCTGAGCAGCTTGGTTCCTAACGGGCCATGTGCTGGTACTGGTCCACGGCCTGGGGGTTGGGGACTCCCGACCTAAAGTATTTCTACTCTGTATATTCAAAAGAACTCTCCCATTTGATACTTCTTCAGAAAAATGTCCCCACCAGAAAGGAGTGGGAAGATCCACCCTAGTTCAGCCGCTGGAGTGCCCCCTGGGGGCTGACATTGCAGTCTTCTTAGCATCCAAGCTCCTCAGTTATCTCCCAGCCCTCATCCCAGGCAGGTGGATTACATAGGAAGGAAAGCCATGCTGGCTGTTCTGACTACAGCTGAGAGAGGAGGTAACAGGAGAGAGGATGGGAGTCATAGTCAAGAACACGGGGCCCTTTGCAGGCCCACCCCGACCCGCCTCCTCAGAGCTGGCTGGGGCGAGGCCATCGCAGAAGCAGCAGCACTACGAACTACAGAGAGAACAATCAGGTCCTGTGGCCATTTAAGCTCCTGCATGCATCTGAGCCTGAGAAGTTTCCTTCTGTCTCTGGAATCAGGTCTGTTTACAGTCAAGAGTGTGAGTACTGAAGAGTTGATGAATTTCAGGATTGGTCGATATAGGTGATGAGCACCTAAGACTTCAGACCCCCGCTCCCATCAGCCACTAAATAAGACTCAAATGTAAACTCTCACAGGCTTGGGACTCCATCGAAGGGCCCTCCAGTCTTTCAGGGGTCCTACCTGCCACTTCCCCCCTCAGGCTCAATGACCTTGCAACTTTCCTTATTTGTATCTTTCTGCCTTTGACCATGCTGTTTATCTGGCCTGGAAAACTACTCACTCTCAAGAGTTAACGTTTACATCAGCCTTTCTTGATACCACTGGCAAAAGTAGGTGATCCCTTTTCTGTGTTGAAACCCACCCTTTGTCCTTCTCTCCCGGGACCGGTACTTTCACACTGTATTGTGATGATCTCGTGGCACATCCCTTCCAACAATGCTGTGCACACCCTAAATCAAGGTCTGTCTCTCATCCTTCCCTTAGTCTTAGCCCTGGTGCCTAGCACAGTGCCAGTGGGCTCAGCGTAGTGAATTTCAAAAATTTCAAGAATGGTTAGTTTCAAGTAGGTGGTATATTTCAGTGTTTTGTAGCTCTTCCCATGAAGAACTGGGGCCTATTTCCCCATTGCCCTTGAAGCTGTGTTGACCTTGTGATCTGCTTTAAAGAACAGAAAGTAGCAGGAGTAACACTGTTCAAGTGCTGAGCCTAGGGCTCAGGAGTTTCTGAGTCTTCCACTCTCATACTCTCGAACCTCTGAACCCCTATGTGAACAAACCTGTCTAGCTTACTGGAGGAGGGGAGGACATTGGAGGAGAATTAAAGCACCATAACTGATGCTCAGACAGTCCAGCTGTGGTCAGCAAGGCCTGGCCCATCAGCAGAACCTTCAGGGGAAGCTGAGCCCAAATAGCTGATCCTCAGAATCATGAACCAAATCCATAGTTGTTTCAAGTCACTAAAATCTGGGTGACTTGTTACACAGCCATAACTGACTGATACATTCAGTAAGAGGTTATTATTAGTGACACTGGGTTGATAACTCCAGTTGCCAACTATCATTGGGTCAGGGATTCAAGCTAGAGACTCAGAAAAGGAGATTCAGGGATCCTGAAATCACCGGCCCATTCCCTCAGATCTTTTTAAATTCAGTTGCCTCCCACCAGCCTTCATCAGTGGCTCATTTACCTCCTTTTTCTCCCGAGAGCAGGACCGGCTTCTCTCAGCCTTCCGCAGAGTCTGACCTGTAGCAGTTCAAAAGCAGAACCAGAGATTGAGGCTGTTTTAAAACAGCTAGCTTATCACCAAAAAAGCTTTTTATTTGCAAAACTGAATAGATGGGACCAATCACAATCAAATGATTTTAAGAAAATGTAGCCTATTATGATAATGGGAAAAATGGCATACTCTTGAAATAGACTAACGGCAATGAAATGGTAATTCACACACTCACATTATTTGACTATAATGAACAAAGCCTCCGCTCTTTAATCTAGAACATTATCTGCACTTTGCAAGGGCCAACAGACTGTAGTTTTTCCCAGTCGAATTACATTTTTATTAAATTGTTTGGAATTATATAAAGTGCCTTCCACCATGTGCATACACATAACCTTTGATGAGTGCGTGCCAATATGCAGCGCCAAACCTCCGATCTCACCACATAGGTGCTAGTGCAAATATGAATTAGCAGTAATCACCCCCATTTCATATAATGGGGCAATTTCAGAGAGAATTGTTGCTTTTCTCAGAAAACTAGAATACTAACATTGAAGGTATGCATACATTTCACAGATAGACATCAGGATGTTTAAATATGCTACTCCAAACGCAGTTTTTACAACTTTGATGGAAGCGGCCATTATGAAAGGAGTCCTTGATGGAAAATTAATGAATCGCTTTGGTTTCAGAACATAAGATGGGAGTCTCACTGCACGTTGTCAGTGTGTTTTGCAAACTGTCCAGCTTCACTCTTGGGTGGATATCTGTGAGAATGTCACAACCACATGTTCCATTAACAAGGAGCACTCTGAAGGTGGGAACAAAAAGGCTGAGTGATGACTTATTGAGCGGCAAGAGAGGTGAACAGAGTCAGAAAGGAAAGACTTTCTTTTTTTAATTAATTTGGCTGCGCCGGGTCTTAGCTGTGGCACATGGGATCTCGTTCCCTGATGAGGGGATTGAACCCAAGCTCCTTGAACTGGGAGCATGAAGTCTTAGCCATGGACTGCCAGGTAAGTCCCAGATGTTTATCTTTGCATGTGGTTACTTCCAGTGGGTCCACATGTGAGTAAGACGCAGAGAGCTGCTCATAGCTGGTAAAAAGGCTCAGGTCAAGGGATGAGGCTCTTTCCAAAAAAGGATAAGGGAAAGGTGCAAAGATGAACCTCTGGCATTGGCCAAGCTTTGGGCCAATACATAAGAGGATGTAGAAGAGAGGCAGTAGCTACTTGTAGGAGACCTGGGTAATACAGTGTCATGGCATAGCAGACACCTTCGGAGGTATCTGCTCAGCTCATGATGACATCCTAGACTGCTCCCTTCTCTTCTTCCTCTCTATCCCCAGGGTGCTCCTGTGGCACCCATGACTGTACATGACCCCATGCCCTGAATTTGGTACGCTCCACTGGGTATGGGCCCTTGACCCAATCACAGCCAGTAAGAATCCCAGCCCCTAACATTTGAAATTGATTCTGAGAGAGAGAGAAGAGAGAGGGCCGGAGCAAGGCTATCTCCATGTGTGACCAGCCACCAGCCACTGGCTTTAGGGACAGATTAACAGAGAATGACAAGGCAGAGTGAACAGATCTGACACCCACAGCATGCATGCCTTTGTGTTTCACAGACATCTACTTTCATTAGGTTCTTCATGTGTGTTTGCTTTTTTTTTGGCGGGGGGTGGGGAGAACCTTAAGACAAAGAACCTAGGGTTTTAAAGATGAAAAAGAGCCCAGAAAAGGACTTCCCTGGTGGTCCAGTGATTGAGAATCCAACTGCTAATGCAGGGGACATAGGTTCGATCCCTGGTCTGGTAAAATTTCACACGCCTTGGGGCAACTAAGGCCTTAAGCCGAAACATCTGAGGCCTGCAAGCTCTAGAGCCCATGTTCCGCAACAGGAGAAGCCACTGCAAGGAGAAACCCACACACTGCAACTGGAGAAAGCCCAGCACAGCCAAAAATAAAATTAATTAATTACTTTTTTTAGAAAAGCCCAGAAAAGATACTACTGTGATGCTGGATGCCCATAGCGGGGGAGGTTTTACATGTGTGGACAGGGGGTAGACGAAAACACTGTGTACTTTGCACACAATTTCCCTATGAACCTAAATCTGCTCCATAAAATAAAGTTTATTGATTAAAAAAAAAATAGCCCGGGATCTAGGGATCAGGTGATCCAGGTTGTCATGTCGATTTTAATCTGACTTCTGATCCCTAATGCCCTGGGGCAGGAGCTAGGGTGGATGGCTCCTCCAAACTCTTGCGCACACCTGCTCTGGCTGTTGGTTGAGGGCCTCTGGGTTGGCCCTAAGGTGGACCAGAGAGGAGGACATACCAGGAAGTAGGCCATGCAATGAGGAGCCGGGAGCTGGAAGGGAACAGAGCAGACTGGAGACTGGGGCTGCTGGGCTTACAGATCAGGGAGTTCTAGCAGTCGGTAAGATGCCTGCAGAACCCAGCGAAGCCCGGGGCAAGGGCAGGGAGCAGGAGAGAAACAGAGCTAGTTTAGGGTGAACACAGCAGACCCCAGAATCCGGCGGAGGCCCTTCACGTGCTGGTCACACACATGCATGAGGATCCAGTTCAGTGGATCGCTGACATGTTATGAGATCTTAGATAACTCACAGGATCCAACAGGTTCCCTCTGGGCCATATTTTCTTTCAATTTTTTTTTTTTTAAATGAGAAGTAGGCTGAATCACCTAATGAGTTTGCTTCCCACCTCTAAAATTCTGATACCAATAAAGAGCAATAAAGAAAATTAGGGTGGGCCATAAAAAGAAAATATTAATGCAAAGAACAGAGAGCTTAACCACTGAAATTTGCAAGTGAATTTCTCTATTGGAGTTAATTAGAAGCTTCTTTATTCATTACATTGGAAAATAATTTGCTTATTTTCCACTGAAGATAATTCACTCTAATTATGCACGTTTGTTATCAAATGCCTCTGTCCTCACATCACTGAGCCCCTCTCCTCTCCAGGTAGCTCAGTGGGGAGACAGCTCCTTCTCCCCACGGACAGAAGGAACCGGATCCCATGGTGCCTGTCTTCTGTCTATTGCACTTAGCTCCTCTGAGTAGCTTCCTACCAAGATCTCATTTATCCCTATGACGACTCAGGGAGGGGGGAAGAAGGTGACATTAACCTCAATATATGCTGCTTGCAAAATGAAGGGGCTGTTCCTCCGCAGTTTGCAAGGTGACCTGCCAGCTGCAGCCAGAAAACAATAAATAAGGCCAAATGTAAATACTACACGTGCACCTCACTTTAGAAGACAGATGTGGACCTGGGGAAAAGAAAAAAAAAAAATGACTGGACTGAATTGTTGTAAATATAACACCATTTTCCCATGTAGGGTTTCAGAGAGATTGTATCTGCACTTAGGATTAATTTTCAATGGTTGGAAGATTCTGACACTTCAGTTTTACTTTGCTCTAGATGCAGATAATAATGTTCATCCCTGCCATTTAGAGGGAAGTTGCATTTTCCTTGGATGTTAGATTCTGAAGTCAGCAGGCATGGGAAAATCGGTGTCAAAATTCCCCTTGAAAAAGAGCCTTAAACGTCTCGTAAAGAACAGTCTCCAGGACACAAGATTTTATACCCAGTGATGTAGACCTATGCGCATGTGTAATATTTGGTGCATTTGGAAATGCATGGTATGTGATAAAAGACATATGCAAAATATAACTTTATGATATTTCTAATTAAACTATTTTTAATTTTTTATGATCTATACTTTTTTTTACATATTCATTTTTATTTATTTATTCAGCTGTGCCACGTCTTAGTTGTGACACATGGGATTTCTGATCTTAGTTATGGCACGTGGGATCTCTAGTTGCAGCAGGCGGAATCTATTTCCCCGACCAGGGATGGAATGCAGCTCCCCCTGCTTTGGGAGGTATGGATTCTTAGCCACTGGACCACCAGGGAAGTCCCTAAGTTATAACTATTGTAATTATTTCCCTCTATTTTTTTGTCTTGGGGTAGGAGGAACTTGTCAGAGGTCGGGGCACAAACCGGGCACCAATATGATGAAGGTTAAATGTTCTAGACAGGACACCTACTAAGGGCCAGGTTCTATGCACCAGCTTCATCTCCTGTATTTTCACATCCACTCCTCCAGGTCAGGAGTCAATAGACTTTCTCTATAAAGGGCCAGAGAATGAATTTTTTAAAAAAATTTATAGGTCATCAAGTCATGCAGTTTTAAGGTCTCTGGTGCAACTACTCAACTCTGCCATTGGAGGGTGAAACTCAGCCATTGATGATATGTAAACAAACCAGTATAGGAGGGCTCTCCAGGTGGCCCAGTGGTAAAGCATCCAGCATCCCTCTGCCAAGCAGGAGACCTGGGTTCGCTCCCTGAAGAAGTTTATTTCTTCTGCTGTCCAAATACGAGGGCTCATCCTGTTCTGTTTTATGTATCTATGTCATTTCATTTAAATGGCAAATATCCCACTGAGATGCCACTTCATCTCAATCATTGGGCTGGCAAAAATCCAGACATGTGACAATATACTGCTGACAAGAGCTGGGAAGTAGGCCTTTGAGAGTACTGTTGGGAGAAGTATAAAATGATACAGGCTCTGTGGAGGGGATTTTGGCAACATCTTCAGAAGGGCTTTTGGCAGTATCCCTTTAAGCTAGCAATATCATTTCTAGGAATCAACCAGGAAGAAATACCTCCACAAACAGGAAACAAATGCATGCGCGAGGTATTCACTGCATCGTAATTTGCAATGGAAAATATGAGAAGTGACCTATAAGTCTATCACAGCTGGGGACTGGCTGAATAAATATGGTGGATCCACACAAGGGAATGGAATGCTGGGTGAGAGAATGGCAAGCTGATAAGATGGCCATATGTTCAGTGAAAAACTCAAGGGGCAGAAACTTGACATTATATGATTCTTTTCTCTGTGAAAGAGAGAAAATAAGGCTGTATTTGGTTCTATTTATACCAAGAACCACCTGGAAAGCATATGCACGAGAGCCACTGCTCAATGTAAACTTTTTAT